ACTAATTTATAACAGGCCACAAGATCCCCCCTCAGCCTTCTCTTGTGGAGGCTGAACAAGTTCAGGTCCTGTAGCCTCTCCTCACAGGGCCTGCCCTACTTGCCACTTCTGTGCTAGACTTTCACATCTGCCCATCTTTCTTGGGAAGGGGGGGGACACAACCCAATACTAGATGCATTGCTCCAGGTGAGGCCTCACCAGTGCTGAGCAGATTGGGAGATTCACTTCCTAAATTTGCAAGCAGTATTGCTGTTAACCAACTGCATATTAGGTTGCATGTGGGTTGTTGCAGCAAAAGCACGCTGGCTCATTCAAGTTATGGGCTACTGCAAACCCCAGGTCCTCTTCTGCAGTACTGCAACTTAACCCATCATTTGCCAGCCTGTTTCCCACTAACAAGAGGTTCAATCAATAGTGGCACCTGTGTGAGTGATCTCATCCTAGATGAGAGCAAGATTTGGGTTTGGAAGCTTGCTCACTTTCCTTTGGATTGCCATTCAATGACTAAATCTAGGAAATTCTATATTTGACCCAGTTAATCCTTTTGAGTTAAGGGCAAGCTTGAATACATGGTAACTCTGATTTCATTTCATGTGACTGCTTCTAACCAATGTGTGCTATAGCACTGGGCGGTTCCAAGTGAGATCAGCTGCATATGTATGTAGGAACTGTTCCATCTGCAGTAGAGCTGCATAGCTTTCTGATGAGTCTGAAAATCTGGATGAATACAGCTAGTGCAGATCTTAGCATGGAGACCATATGGAAAACATGTTGCTTCCACCAGTGCATGGATTCCCCTTGATCCTAATGCAAGGGCTCCCACTTGGCTTGTTTTTCTACTTTGCTTCTTTGAAGAGGCCAGAAAACACGCCCCCCCATGCCAAGTTCAGACTACTTGCTGAACTACCGACTTTCAGACAGCAATGAACTTATCTGATAGTTTATCTTTAACAGTTTCTTTAGAGATGGGGAAACATGGTACTCTCACCCTTTGCCAGAAACTTGTGACCATGCTGAAGATTTTGTAATGCAACAAGAGCCAACAGCATCTACAGATGTTCCTGATAAAGGTGCTTGCTGTGGGGAACTGCACTGTGGGGAACTGCAGAAGCTAAACTTCCAGAGGTCTGAGAGGAACCAGGCCTATATGAGCCTCTTTGAGATGGTAATGTGGCGCCATCTATTGGCTGTTTTTCAGCTGATCTGGGTTTTGTGACTCAGACTTCACACTACTGTGCTATAAAGAGAGTGAAGTGCTGCCTGGGGCAGGGAGGCATCTAAAAAGCTTGTGTACTACAGCAGTAGGCAAGATTTGTCTAGGAACTGGGAGTGGTGGTCACAGCATGCAGCATGGAGAACACCATCACTGACAATACTTCACTGTGAAGGATGATTTGTTTTCCAGCATTGCTGATGAGGCTGATCCAGGATCAAGAAACTGTTACACCCTGGGTATGTTTCCATGTGGAATTGGTGGCTGTAAGTTCTTGATTCAGTCCACAGCACACTGTTTTTGCCACTGCTGCTTTTCTGTTGCCTACTGTTGTCATACTTTCAAAGTACTGAGATCCTTGCAACAGACTCATCCTCTGTTCGGGGCAGTCCTGGGTGATAGTCTCCCATGAACTGATGTCAGTGCTGCTTTTTTTTTTTTTTTTCCCCCCCCAAATTGGCCTTGATGTCCTTGAAGCACTACTTGCCCTTCTCTTGAGCATATGAGCTGGGAGGATTACATTTGCTTTGGGAGTCTGGAGTTGGAATTGATGTTGGATGATCATCACCTCGGTGCTCATGACATTTGCTTGCAGGAGGACATTAATGTTGGTGTGTCTGCCTTCCCACTGGATTTGGAAGAGATTCCGCAGTAAGCATTGGTACTTTTCCAGTGACTTGAGGGGTCTCCTGTACGCTGTGTCCCAGCTCTGTACAGTAAGGTAGGGATCACAACTACTTGAAAAACCATGAGGTTGGCTTCAGATCTAATGTTGCAATCCTCAAAACACCCATTTCCCCAGGTGTCACTTGCGCTTTTGAGGTGATGTTGAAGGCTGACATTAATGGAGAAATCCAATGAGAGATGGCTTCTGAGGTACGGGAAGTATTTAGTGTTAGTCATAGGAATTATCCAGAGTCTCACCGTAAATCTGACTTACTGGAGCTGGGGATTCATCATTAAGAGCTTGTTGATGGAGGGCTGTGGCCTTCTGAATGTTAAGCATCAGCCCCATTTTCTTGTATGCCTTGATGAAGATGTTGAGGACTGCCTGAAGGTCTCTCCTGAGTGAGTACAGACTACATAATCAGTGTACTGGAGCTAGATGATTCTGGAACTAGATGATTGAGCTCAGGGCGGACTTGGTTGACTCAGATTATTGAATGGATGGTGAACTTTTAGTTTAGCTTCACTTCAACTGGAAGCTTGTTGGTGGCCAGACATAGCATCATGAAGAGTGGTGGAGCTGTGAAAATGCAGATTTAGGTGGAACAGTAGGCAGAAGCCAGGGTGTCAACTTTCAGGTTCCAAGGTGGTGAATTTGCTTCCTTGTAAAATTATGAAGTTTTCATTTTAAAAAATAACACCATGGCTCCTGCCTATTGTTCCAGCTAAATCTGCATTTTTTTTGCACAGTGCGAAATGCCTTGACAGAGGGGAACTTCCTGCCCAGGAGAGCACCCATCACACCACCCTCCTGTGAAATATGAGATGCTATAACCAGAAGGAAACATCATACAACATCCTGTTCGACACCAGGCAAGACTGAGGTAAATAGACTATTTTAATGTTTTTATCTGAGCTTAATTTGCACAAAAATGAACTATTCCGATCACCAGCTCTTACACCTTGAGCTCTCTTGTGAATTTTCACTTCTACTTAGGAGAATGCACAGATTGTAAAACTTCTCTTATGCCTGAGGAGGGGTGTGTGCCCAGAAGCTTGCAAATAAAGGTGGTTTGTTTTTTTTGTTACTGCTGGGTTTTCCCCTTCCCACTATAGGAAGTCTGCTCTGTGCCTTGGAAGCAGGGACTTCCTGTAGTCAGGCTGCACAGTGCTTGCACACTTATCTGCTTTTGGCAAAACCTAGGTGATGAGACGTCGATGTAGGAACTACTCAGGCTCCAGCATCCTCCCCTTCTGCACATGTATGTTCAAGGAGTGGGGGGGGCACATGTTTCTCCCCCTCACAATGATGTGTATGGGGCTCTTGAAGTGTCCTGGAGTGGTTTTACTCCAGGTCCTTGGGCACCTCCTCCTAATTCGCCGGTTTGCATCTTCATGCAGGTGCACAGCTGCATGGCTGCCTACCCTCTGAGAGAGATCTGAGCAGTGGGGCTGGCTGCCCCTTGTTCTGTGGGGCCAGCACACTACCAGTGAGGCCAGAGGGTGACCCAGACCAATGCTCCCCTGCAAATAAACCTCACAATAAACAAAGACCCAGCTATACTCAACGAGGAGTTTATTTAAATACAAAAACAACTGCTCCTGCTTCAAGCCTCATGAGAGAGGAGAAACTGCTTCCTTTTGGGCTCCAATCCTTCCTGCTCTGCCAAGCACAGCCTGGGTGATACCCATCAGCTCTTGTTCCCTGTTATGCCTTGGCTCTGTCGCTGGTCCCTTCCTTGAAGCCTGCCTCAGCCTCTGGGCTTCCTGCAGGGGTCATGTGGATGGGCACATTCCTCTCGGGGGCGGCTATCTGCCCTTGGCATGGGGCTTTGATGCACAGCTGGCCCTCGCTGGAGACGGAGCAGGTCAGGCTGTTGGGGTCTACGCCCTCAGGCACGTCCCACTCCCGCTTGAACACCTCGTACTTGTAGGAGAAGGAACCTTTGCTGTCCTTGTTCTGTGTCTCCTTCTTGCCTGTCAGCAGCACCTTCCTGCCCACTAGCTTCACTGTTAGCTCCTCTGGGGCAAAGTCCTTGACATCCTGGCACACAGTGAAGGCCCCATCTGCTCCCCTGGGCAGAGTCATACTGGCACTCTGCTCTTGCTCTGTGCTGGGGCTGCTGCTCCCTTCACCTAGCAGGAGCTGCTGGACACTGCTCATAAGCTCCTGGGCCCAATCCATCTTCCACTGCAGCTGCTGCTCCAAGTCAGAAAAGACTGTGCTAGGTTGAGGCCACAGTGTGCGCAGAGGGCCCATGTAGGGAGCTGGGGTGCTGTGGGAAGGTGGCTGGAGGTGCAGGCGGCGCAGCATCTCTGCTTCTGTGGCTGGCTTGGGGTGCTGAGGTGAGTCCTCTCTAGTCGTACTGGAGCTATCCTGCCTGGCTGGTTGGAGCCAGTGGCTTTTATCCTCTTCTGGCCCAGGCCTGGCTGCATCTAGAATTCTCTGTCTCCCAGTGCCCCTGGGAGCATGACAGTGAGTTCCCATTATTCACCTCCCAGATTGGGCAGGGTGAGGCAGCCCCAGTACCACGTGCCACATACCACATGCTTTAAGCCAGCTCATAGCTCTGCCCTGCTGCTCTATAATTAGAAGCATCACTTCAGTTTCTAAACAAAGCAGCAGCCCCTGCCTGGGGAAGAGATTGAGAGCCCCAGGCCCTTGGCCTTCTTGCTCCCCGACACCAAAGGTGGGGAAGAGTTTCTTCTTGCCAGTCTTGATGCCTGATTCCATCTCCACCCCTTCCCACTATTGCCCAGCTCTAATTTCCTCATCAACCGTAGACAGTAGGGTCAGAAGGGACCTCAACAGATCATAGTCTGGCCCCCTGCCTGGGCAGGAAAGAGTGCTGGGGTCAGATGACCCCAGCCAGGTGCCTATCCAGCCTTCTCTGAAAGATCCCCAAGGTAGGGGAGAGCACCACCTCCCTTGGAAGCCTATTCCAAATTTTAGCCATGTTACTGTGAAGAAGTTTTTTCCTGATATCTAGCTTAAATATGCTCTGTCAGTTTGTGGCCATTGTTCCTTGTTGTGTTAAGTGGTGCCCTGAGGAACAGAGCATCTCTAATTCCTTGCTGCGCCGCCCCCCCCCCCCCCCCCCCCCCCTCATCGGTG